TTTTTCTTAAGCAATTTCGAAAATGGTCAGTCCAGCAATTTTAGTAAAGTCGTTACCGGTAACGAATCTTGCTTCTATAAGTGGGACCCTGAAACCAAACAGCAGTCTATAGTATGGAGCTAAACAGGAGCAAGCTCACCCGTGAAATCTAAGCAACAAAAATCAGCAACAAAAGTAATGATGTCAGTTTAGTTCACCCGATCTGAAATCGCTGCTGCTATTTCACTGGAAAATGTTCAGATGGTTACTGCAAAATGGCACACCGAAGATGGCTTTACAAAACTTGTCGAAAATTTTTGGAAAACAGGAAGAAAGAGAATTTGCGGCGCTAATTTTTACTTCCGATTTCTGGTTATTTTCAAAATTTAGAAAAGAAAAATTTCAAGGGAAAGGTTCTAATGGCAACGAAGAGATAATTAATGCTGATAATGCCGAACTTCGTAAGTTTAAAAATCTAGATTTTGAAGACTGTTTCTAGAGGCGGATCTATGGGCTTAAAAAATGCCTTAAAATCATTGGCGATTATTTAGAGAAGATAAAAAAAGAACAAAGATTACGAATAAATATAAAAATAATTCTTTTTTTGAGGAAAAAAAAATATGAAAGTCTTTAATAACATAAAATTTTTGTGTAAAATAGGAAATTAAATGTGCGAAAATAAATATATGAAATTCCTGTGCAATAAAATATAAATGATAAAACTCGCAATTGACGAACTAGTAATCTCTAGCATGCGATAAAAATGTAGCAACCCGAAATAATCTCTTACTTGGTAAGCGTAGCAGTAATATTGCAGTCAGCGAACGAAAATATTTATTAAATTTTACTCGAAATGGTATTCAAAAGGGAAGAGAGGAGGACTTACATTAGCTATGGCGACATCGCCATGTTTATTTTAAGCGCTGAATCCAGGCGTCAAAGACACAATTTCCACTTTACCTCTTCGCGTTCAAGACCTTTCTTTTCGCTACTGGGTATTTTTGTAATTCTATTTATGTATGTATGTGTTTTCAATGCGAGATAATGCGTAACGAGTATTAAATATTTTTCCATGAAGCTTGTATTGTAGTAAATCCTTTGTGAATCACTTTTGTTTATGATAAAAAAAATGTTGAAAGAAGAGCTTTTTTATTCGACAAATAAAATTTATTTATTTCTTCTAGTTTTTTTTTAAACAATATTTTTTTGAATTATTAAAATATTTTTTTTTTTATTTTTGCTCAACCGAGTACCATTCTGGAGAACGAGGCGGATACTCCAAATTACCAACTCTCATGGAATTAGTTTCATACGTAAAAAGGCACTGAATGGCGTTTCAGAATCAAATCGACAGAATTATTCATTTTGATAATACCGAAGGTCTAGATGGCGCACCCTGTATCTAGCTGCGTGTAACAACTACATTACATGCCTGTAAATTTTAAACGAAATATTCTGTGTCAAGTCCGCAAAAACTGGTATCCCACGATATGAGCTAATTGTAGTGTGATAAACCTCTCAATATCGCATATCAAGCGTATTGTGGGAAATATTAAAGACGTACAAGTTATGGGATATTTTTAGAGTATTTTCAGACCTTTAAACACCACCATATGATAAATCTTGAAAAAGACTTTTGAGAAAAACTTACGTCCGTTTTAATGCTGTCTTCGATAACATGTAAATAAGTTGTCTCTACTTCGCTATGTTTGATCTTTGTATCCAAGCAAAACTTATACGATAGTAAGCTGATATGTTGCGCAGTTGTTGTTCCAGCCGGAAAAAATATTACCCAAAGGGTCTTTTGTCGTAAGTTTCGGAAGTAACAGCTGGATAAAGTCCGCACCGTTCCGATATAAAGACCCAACTGTCACGGGAACTTTTGGAAATCAGTCGCCTCTTACGATGGGCATGTCTACTTCTTCTTCTAGACCGGCGTAGACACCACTTACGCGATTATAACCGAATTGACAATATTGCGTCACACATTTCTTCTATTCGCTCTTTGGTGTCAATTTGAAATACCAAGTGCATCCAGGTCCTTCTCTACCTTCTGCACACTTTCCAGCGGGGTTGAGGCACTGACATGCCTTACCGCGGAAAAGTTCTGGAACTCATACTTCACATGGGTAAGTGGATTGATATCAAACAATGTGGCAAGGTGTGGTGCGCGTCTTGATCTTTCTCCAACCAGTGAAAGGACCTACAGTTTATACTGAGCCGCCCCCGAAAGGCCGGCAGATTTTCATGAGCAGCTATTTATTTCAAGAGATATATCCTCAGAGAGCTTGACGTTCCTTGTTGGGCGAGCGCAATTAAAAAATTTGACTTAATTTCTTTTTTTTAATTAAATTTTAAACTAAAAAATTTTTTTTTTCCAATTAAAATTTTTTTTTAAATAATTTCCATACCTTTTGGGTGTTGGTCGAACCATGCCTTCCGAATGGCAGTACGCAATGCTAATCATTCGGATACCGTGGCCGCCGAAAGAAAGGGAAATCTTCTCTAAGTATGTACTATTGTGACATCAGCTGACTGACCAAAGAAAACGAAGCAAATATGACTGCACGAAGGAAAAAGAAGATTCTCCTCTCATCATGCAAACATTCAGCATGTTCGCATCTTGGTTCCAAAGTCAATGTTAACAGTCATAATTCACTGAAGGTGAAGACAATTTCATCTGCGTCAACAACAACAACAATCTTAGCCTTGAAATCTAAGCTATTCACTCTTGCCAACTGATAGGGAAATTCAAAATTCTCTGTCGATGAGCGAAAACCTATTTCTACAAGTCGCTCATTATTCATGCCTTACTCTTCGACAAGAACACTTTGATGATGATTTTCGCATACAAGGCGACATTAATATATGAGTAGCTACTCAAAATAATAAATTTAAGAGATAGTGGCTACACTGCTTATGTCATATCTAAGGATGACTGAAAACACTCCACTTTCATGCACTAACTGGTGGGGGAAGCTGAGAAAGAAAAACTCCTTTGGAAAGATCTGCGGTAAATCCATGACGATGTCTACGCCAATTACCCTGCAAGACGGGTAGAGCTGTTGCCAGTTGTATATATTGGATGAGTGCATAAGTTCGTGCCCGATTCCGTTTGAGAGTGGCGCTCGTGAAAGAAATATATACATATTATATATCGTTGGAAAGGTGACAGTCCGAACTGTAAATCAAGCATAAAATAACTTCATAAGACGCATGGAAGATGGACAACGAAGAAGATCATATGCGTCATATTATGTTATACGAATTCTGCAAAGGAAAAACAGTAGGCGCTGCAACTAAAGATATTCGCGAAGTTTATTTGGACCGTGCTCCAGCACTCCGCACAGTAAAGAATTGGTTCGCGAAATTTTGTTCTGGAGATTTAACCTCGAAGATCAACCTCGCAGTGGACGGCCTTCTGAGCTTGATGATGATGTTCTAAGGACTTTAGTTGCGAATAACTCACGTATTTCGACGGAAAAGGTTGCCAGTGAATTGAACGTCAACAAATCAACTGCGTTTCGTCGTTTAAAAAAAGTTGGGTACACTTTGAAGCTCGATACATGGGTGCCACATCAGTTGAGTGAAAAAAAACAAAGTGGACCGTATGTCAACAGCAATTTCTTTACTTCGACGGATCAAAAACGAACCTTTTTTGGATCGGCTCGTGACTGGTGATGAAAAATGGATCCTGTACAACAATGTTCAACGCAAAAGAACATGGAAACAGGCACACGAAGGGGCGGAACCGATTTTGAAAGGTGGTTTGCATCCGATGAAGGTACTGCTGTGCATTTGGTGGGATATCCGAGGCGTGATCTATTTTGAGCTCTTGCCAGGTGGAAAAACGATCACTGCCAACAAGTATTGACAGCAATTGGTCGAATTGAAAAACGTCCGATTTTGGCCAATCGCAAAGGAGTTATTTTTCATCATGACAACGCCAGGCCACATGTTGCAAAACCGACCCTGGCCGAACTGAAGGAGATGAATTGAGAAATCATGCCGCATCCCCATATTCACCCGACATTGCCCCTTCTGATTATCATTTGTTTCGATCGCTGCAGAACAATTTGAATGGAAAAAAATTTAAAAACGTGGAAGACGTCAAAAACCACCTTGACACCTTATTCAACGAGAAACCGCGCGATTTTTATGAAACAGGCATCCGTAAATTGGTTGAACGTTGGGAGTGGATTGCCGAACATGATGGCGAATACATAATTGATTAATAAAAGCGCTTTCTTCAAAAAATTTCAATTTTAGTTTGCACTTGAAATCGGGCACGAACTTATGCACTCATCCAATATATATTCGCCTTTTACAATTTTTTATTATCGTATCTGTAATACATCTGTTATTGAGAACAAATACATACGATATGTTACTAAATCTGTTAACAAATGGTTGTTACAAATGAGTTGTTGGTAACATAAGCATTTGTTAGCATATCTGTTGACAGTTAGTTATTCAAAGCGAATGTATTTGTTACCCGACATTTTAGCGGTGGGTTAGTGAAAACAAATGTCCTGGTTACCCGATTTGTTACCCATAGGCAATTGAGCAGTGTCGTTATAAAAATACTTCAATTAGTGAAGAAACTTTTGGCTTTTGGCGCTTCAGTCTGTCTCCTGAAAGCTAAAGGACTGCTGCGACTCTTCATTGAGTTGGTATTAAATATGCGTAAATATCTAGCCGAGTGAGAGAAAGTTGGTATTTTTAAACAAAATTATTATTTCTCAGTGTTAAAAGGTCTTGGAATGTCAATTTGACTGCCGTGATATTTATGCGTTTACTTATGAGTATTTATATACAATATGTACATAAATATGTGCATATGCATGTATACATAACTGAGCTCCCATCCAATCATCTCTTGCAACAATTGGCTCACTAATGAAAAACGGAAATACGCATCACACTCGTTGAGAGGAAAAAAATAAAATGAAAAAAATAATTCGAGGCAAATTGAATATATTTATTTGATATACTAAATTTATGTATATAAAATAAATTTAATAAAAATCATGTAAAATATATTATCATGTCATAATGCAGCTTATTTTTTTGTGGTAAACGCTTTATAAAAGTGGCATATGGAATTTCGTCTGGCTTTTAGCATCATTTCTCTACTTTTTCGTGAGTATATGCTATGTAACTGTATATGTAATGTGTGTGAGTCTAAAATATTTGCAAGTATTGCTCATGTCACACGAAATCGACGCAGGAGATTTGCATTGCCACAATATTCTCGAAGAGCGCAATAAATGGCCAGTAGAAGGCCCACAATGGCGATGAGAAAAACAATTGGTGTGCCCAATAAAATCATAACGAACAGCTTCACATCACCGCATTTCGCCAACGTCATCCACCAGAGCAAACGGCGCGCTGAATTCCGACATATGATACAACTGCGCCAGCAACCGTAGGTGCTGTTGGTGAAGCGTAGGAGTGTGAAGAATATCAGACGCAGTAGCCACAGTGTCCAAGTGCAGGATCTACACAACAGTTCGCACGTACGCTGGTAATATGAACTCTTGCAGATCCGACTCGTGTATGCTGTGACCTGTTTGCGTCGCTTCAAACTCAACAGTCGATCGCCGTAGTGGACTAGCAAACGCTTCAATTGACTTTCAGTTTGACTGCTACGCGGTGGTTCTTGATATGATTGCAACTCGCGCTTATACTCGGTATCCGAATCGGTTTCGACCAGCTCTAGACGTTGTTGAGACGACGCTGCAAGCGTGTGCAGTACGGGCTTGGTGCCGAACATGCTGAGATCGCCTTCATAGTTGCCATTGTAGCAAATTACACTGCTTCTTGTTGGCGGAGCGCTTGCAGTGCTATGGAAAGGAAAGAAAGAAAAATAAAACACGAGAAAGAGTAAAAGAAATTAAGTATTTTAACGTTGTTTCTCTTCTTATCACCGTCGCGCTGAGTTGAGACAAACTCCACTGCCAAAGTTCATGTGTGAGGCACTTTGCGCCGCCAATAGTGGCACATAATTTAAACCATCCTTATATCTGTGCATTTTATTTAGGCCGGAGGTTTGAAATTTCAGCTGTTTGTTGTTTGTAAGAAATTGTTTTAGTTTGTTTGTTTTCAAATTCCCAAATGTTTTTTGTTTTTAATTTTTTTTATGTTTTTTATTTTAATTGTAATTTCAAAGCCTTGTTGAATTATTTCGATTTATCGGTTCTACAGAGTTTCAATTCATCGACTTTTGAGGGAAAATAATTTTCTAGTTAATCTCTGATTTAAAGAGCTTCTGACTCAAGCTCGGTTGTTTGCGAAAGCAATCAAAGTTCGTTTTATATTTACATAATACTTTTCCGAGTCAAGAAGACCAATTGACTGCTGTTACTTGGTGTATACTCAGTTTGGGCTCATATTGTATAATAGAACAGCGATTGGAAATCGTGCAAACTTTTTACCGAAGTAATGGTTCCGTTCGAGCTTCAAGTGTGGCGATAGTCGTGCGCTGTTTGAACCTTCGTATATGGTTGTATATTGCCTGTTGAAAAAATATCGCGATTTTTGTGTTTTTTTCAAAAATTATTTATTTATTCATGAATATCTATTTTGTCCCCTTCAATGTAATCTCTATGAGATATTATACACTTGTGCCAACGGTTTTTCCGATCTTCGAAGCACTTCATAAAATTTTGTTGTTCAGCGCCTCCTTCGATGCGGTCTTTATCTCGTCAATCGTAGCGTAACGTTTAGGGAACAAGAAAAAGTCACAGACGGCCAGATCTGGAGAATACGGTGGCTGCGGCATCGTTAGTGTGTTGTTTTTGGCCAAAAGCAACGATGTGTGAGCAGGGGCGTTATCGTGGTGCCAAAGCCAATTTTTGTTCCTCCACAAATCCGGGCGTTTCTGGCGGATTGCTTCGCGCAAATTGCGCTTAACTTGCAGGTAATATTCCTTATTGACCGTCCTACCCTGTGGCAAGAACTCATGATGCGCCACGACCCTGCAGTAACAATAATTTTTTCGTCTGTTGTTGAAGTGCTCGGGCGTCCGGCACGCTCTTCGTTGTTCACATCTTCTCGGCCTTCTGAGAACATTTTGTACCACCGATAAACGTTGCTTCGGTCCAAGGTAGCTTCTCCGTATGCCACAGTCAACATTCGGAATGCATCCGCGCACTTAATTTCGTTTTTCACACAAAATTTGATACAGGTTCTTTGATCCATTTTTTTGAATAGGTAAAAATCGAAGACCATCCAAAACACGTGCAAGCAAAGCAGCTGTCAACAATTAAGTGAACATTCAAAATGGCCGAGCTTGTCGGCATAAGTGACAGACATGAGTACCAACATAACGCCACAAAAAAATCGAAATTCGATTATACGTAACCCGCGAAAATTCTGAATTCGCGATACTTTTTGAACACACCTCGTATGTAATTGTTTCTTGTCACTCACTAGAAGTCAAAAACTTTCCTCACCTGCCTGAACTTCTGCACATGGCCCCATGCTCCATTTGTCGTAGATGATTTCGTTTATTTAGGGACTAGAAGTAGCGCTAATATTAATGTCAGCCTTGAAATCTAAAGCAGAATCACTCTTGCCAACAGGCGCTACTTCGGACTGAGTAGGCGAACGAAAACCAAACTCTACAACCCGCTCATAATAACCGTCTTACTATATGGCTCAGAAGTATGGACGATGTCAACATCTGATGAGTCGGCCTGGAAGACTTCGAGAAAAAGTTTTGCGAACAATTTATGCGCATTGGCAACGGCGAATACCGCACACGATGATGTACGAATTATACGGGGACATTGATATAGTTCAGCTTCAGCTAATGAAGAGAAGGTGTCTAAGCTCTTATCGGCCGAATGAATGAAAGCACTGCAGCTCTGAAAGTCAGTACCCATCGGTGGAAGCAGTTGAAGAAAAAGCCATTCCGTTGGTAGAATCAGGTGAAGAGCGACCTGATTTTACTTGGTATTTCCAAATGACGCCAAAAAACTAAGAGAAGAACCGTATTATTAATTCGATCATAACCGCGAAAACGGTATCCCCGCCCATGAATGAAGAAGATGAAGTTCACTTTTTGGAGTGATAATGATTCACAAAGCAACATAGAGACGCCGTAACATCCTCAAAAGTCACTATTTGGTGTACTCTATGGGCAGTGTGAGTTATTGTTCGAAATTTCTTCTAAACTGAGCCTACCATTGACTTTTACGTCCCCGCGGGTCTAGGACTCCTAAATTTAGCTGCGTTAGGGCATGCCTGTCGTAAGAGGACTAAAATCCGATAGTTCCCGACAGTCTGGTCTTTACACCGGAACGACCCCGATTTTTATCCGGCCAAGGACTGCCACTCCCGAAACATTCTCCAAAAACTACTTTGGATAAAATATTGATGTAGATCACTAGATAGATGACTATACAGCCAACAAAAAAAAGCAATTTTTTGTTGTAAGCTGTTGGTGCGCTTACTATCTCGCGCTGTGTGCCTCCAAGATCGTGCAATTTAACACTGGTGAACTATTTTTTTTGGCAGCAAACAAGCCTGAGATGATAGGTAGTTGCTGCCTTTTGGCTGAAATTTGCTCGAACTACCCGCGGCGGTCACTTGCTCGAAAACACTTTTAACCCTTAACTCTATAATAAAGCTAAATTCTTGGCCATAACCTTAAATTATATACGTTTTATTTGTTCTTCTCTAAAAAATGCACCCGTCAGTTAATCCCAAAGTTAATCATAAAATATTTTTTTCTTTTTATTTATTGAAAACCAACTCAAAACTGTAAATTTAAAAAATTCTACATAATAATTTTTATATGAACATTGTCTATATACGAGTATATAGAAACGATTTTATCTTTTAAAATTATTAAAACTCAGTCTAAAATTAGGACGCTCCCTCCTTTGCTATCTACAATCACAAACAACTTCCATATTTACATACATACATTATTTGCATACACGTTCACTTGTAATAAATTTATATACTAATTTTTATATTATTTAATTTTTTTCCCCTTGCAGTTGTGAGCTCTGTGCGTGCGCGTGTGTGCCCATTGAATCATCAACGCTATCCTAAAGCCAGATAAAAGCTGGAACTATGAGCTGAGCCGCATATAATTTAATCAACGAAAGCATTTGAGTTGCGCTGCATTGTGTTCTTGTATCGCTACGCTGCTAAGTTTTTATTTGTACATACATACAAACATATATACATGAATACATGTGTAATATTTATATAGCAGTTGTTTGTTATATGCGATTTAAAAAAAAAAATTAAATAAAAAAAGGCATACAAAAGCTGATATATATCCGTTAAGCGTTCAACACTCAAAATGCCAACAACACATTGCAAATATATAACTGTACTAATCGTACTATTTGGCATAGTGAACGTCGCCCAGTCGATTGATACGCTTATCAATTTTTCCGAGGGTTTGGACGGGCCCAATGTGTGTAAGAAACGTGAAAAGTGAGTGTGTGAAATATTTGAAAGCATAAAATTTAAAATTTATTTTCAAATTGTAATTTTTTTTTTCTTTATTTTCGCTTGCAGTTATCCCGTTGAGGTGACCACCACCGAATTACAGTCATATCAGGAACGTCAAACCGTTTGGTGTCTCAGTGTGCCACCGCGTTGCTCATCATATCAAATCAAACATCGGACGGTGAATAAGACACGAACGCTTATGAAAACTCGCATTGTGCGTGCTTGTTGTGGTGCGTACAGACATACATACATATATATACATATGTAAACATGTATATATAGTATTTTTTTGCTTTAGTTTCTACTAACTACTAAAGCTGTAAGCAAATTCAGACGACCTTCGAGCTCCCCAAACAAACTGTCAATTGAATTATCTAATCTTTTACATAAACAATGCGGAGATTCTTCAAATTCTTTAAAAAACCTAATGCGCGCTTTATTAAATATTCATTCCACTTTCTTCATCTTCTCTGTTGAATCAATGCTTATGGCATTACTTCTGACACCGACTGATGGAATCGTTTGTGGTTTACTAGTAATGAAACTGCTGTATACGTTCCGTTCAATTGAGACTGTTTTCTAAAGAACTGCGCATAAAAAGATCTTATCTTTCGGGTTGCGTCAAGCACAAACTCATTTGCGCTCGGAACTAAGGCTAACGAAAGAAGATAACATGAAACGTATTGTAAGAAATCTTTATTGAAGATAGATGTGTCAACTGATCTTTCGGTTATCTTACAAAGTCCAACGTTGTTAACGTCTTTTGGGGTTTCCCTATATAAAGGTCTAGTCAAAAGTAAGCCATTATTTTTGCATTAAATTTAGGGTTTTATTTCCCAGAGTTAGAATTCTTCGATTCTTATCAAATATGCACTGTTTTGCCCGAAAACCTTTTGTCATTTTGAAGAAAATGTATTTATGACGCTTTCATAAAAACCTTTGACCATATTGGCAAAATATTAGGAGAATCGATTTTCACCGGCTTCTTTTGAGGACAGGCAACTCATTCGCTATAGAAAGGAATAAATTGTAATCACTGGGTGCGAAACCCTGACTGAAGGGAGTTTGCATAAAAACCTCCCCACCAAGTTCTTGGAGCTTCTAGTTAGTCACTAACAATGTGTGTGGTCTGCCGTTGTCCTGATGAAATACAATTCCATTCCTGTTGGCCAAAGTCTTCTTCAGGCGATCCAATTGCTGACAGTACATATCCGATCATAGCGAATGATTGCTTGCCGATTCCACCAAATACACAAGAAAAACCTTTCCTGGTCGTCATTCCTGGATTGCAGACCGTTTGTTTCGTCTCATTGCTCTTCTACCACGACCGTTTTCATTTGACGTTACTATTAAGAGATCCACTTTCAGCATCAATCACAATCCATTTCAGAAATGGCTAGAATTTGTTACGAATGAGGAGCCAGTCGTAGATGGCAATCATAAGGTTTTTTCTCACTAACACATGTGCGACCCATACATGGAGCTTCTTTGTGTATCCAGCCTTTTTCGAGTGCTTTTTCGAGCATTGTTTAGCTCATGAGCAATAGAGATGATGCTCCTATGATGGTCAGATCCGATGATTTCCATTATTTTACCGACATTTTCGGCAATTGGCCTTCCACAACGTGGGACATCTTTTACAGCAAAATTACTGGAAATAGACGAAAATGAAATTGTGTTTTATTGACTGTTATAGTATCAGGACCATAAGCACAATTTACATGTTCGTCTAACATACTGGCCTCTCTCTCTTCGTCTTGATCGAAGAAAAATTGTAGAATGTAGCTGAACTCCTCCTTGGTGGTGTCTATCTTTGATGTACGCTCAAAGACGACTGAGTTAAATGATCGACACACCTCTCGTTATCTATTTTAGTACAAAATATCAGCTTTCTAACGCCATCCCACGCTATTATAGAACGCGAGATACAATCCACTAAAGACATCTATTGCAAAAATAATGGATTACTTTTTACTATACATAATATTATGTTTTTCTGCGGCAACTTATGTATGAAATAAATTATAATACCATTTTCTGTTTAAATTTAAAAAAAAAAAGTGGTTGAAACTGAAACAATGAAAAGGGTTTTCTCACCATGCATGGCAATGACCAAGTTCTTTTAAATTAATAAACTCCTTCAAAAAGGTTATTTTTCGTCACTAACTATAACCAGAAATCCGGGGCTATATCCGGGGAATATGATGCTGGGCGTATTTCTTCGACCCCAGAGATTTTTATTGCGATTGTTTTTATTCGTTGTTATGATGCAATAAGTAGCGCTGCAAATCCTCCTACTTCCTGTTTTCCAATAAATTTTTGAAAACTTTTGGTAAGCACTCTTCGGTGTACCATTTTGCGGTTACCGGCTGGCCCTTTTCCAGTAAAATAGCAGCTACGATTTCAGGTCGTGTGAAGGAACCTGACATCATTACTTTTGCTGCTGCTTAGATTTTGCTGGTGGATTTGCTCCTTTGGGCTCCATACCACGGCGATACAGCCATGGCATTCAAGTCCACATCACTTGCAATCATTTCTTGTGTTAATCGTGGGTTTTCGTCAATTTTGAAATTCACCAGAGCTACTGTGAGCTTCGTCGACTTTCTTAGGGTTCGTCCTCTACGGAAAAATGTTCAGTCTAAAATCTTCGAAGCCACGTAGAAATAGTATTTAAAGATGGTGCAATCGTTCCATATGCATCTTGGCATTCACTGAATATTTGTTTTGGCTGTAAATTACGACGCAATCCGAAGGGAGTCTCATGGCGAATTTCTGTTTACGTTGGTGGTGGAATTTCGTCTGACCTCTCCTCAGCTATTTTGCGTTTTTTCGTCTCCCATTTAGCCGATTGTTCTGACATTTGAAAATAAGGACTAATAAAGTAATTGCAAATGATTTGGTATTTTTAGATTTAACAAAAACAAATTGAAAGTCACCAACTGACCGAACTTTTCTTAAAGTCCTTGTATATTTAACAAAAATTTTATATATCAAAACTTGATTAACTGCGGGTCTGACTCGCAATTGAAGCCCATAATTTGTAATTGTGTTCACATTGCGTATGTTGCAAGTGCTATATGTACATATGTATGCAGTATTTATATAATTTCTATGAAATTTTCTTAATTAACATTACCTATGACTTTTTCCAGATGGCTATACAGAGAATCTACATGGCGATGGTTGTATTCCGAAGTGTGAAAATCCATGTGAACACGGCAAATGCATCGCGCCGGAGAAGTGTAAATGCGAACAAGGCTGGGGCGGTGATACGTGCGATATAAGTTCGTTAAATGATTTTATTATCTTAAATATTATATTATTATATTTAATTTATTTGCGTACTCAGACGCTGAGCACATACTTAACGAAAATTGTAATTTGATGTGCTTATCATGATACAAGAATTGCATAAGGTAGTTTCACCTTAAAATGTTTGACACTAAACGTGTTCGCTCGGTTGCTTCGGATATGCACTGCCACTTAGAAGACATTTAATTATTGATGGGTACATTTTTTGAACTGAGATTCTAATATTTTCATATACGTATGTATGTATAAAATAAACGCCGTTTTTCTAAGGTGTCAAAAGTAAGAATAGAAATTAACTGCCTTAAAGATTATTTGGTTATGAAGAAATTAAGAGTTAAAAATCTCTCTGTTGTGTTCTCTGAAAGTTCGTTTAATAGCGAATCGGTTTTAAATGTCCCTCTTTCGATATCTTTATACATCAGTAGGAGGGTGATTAGGCTCATTAGGATCGTATCGTGTTCATTGTTAAAGGTGATATGCGGAAAAAAGCATATATTGTGGCGTTCCCTACTAAAAGAAAAAACAGTTGGCACCATTATGAATGAGACGTTATTGGTTTACGACTCGTCTTGTACGGGAAAATGACACAGTTTATTAAAAAACGAAGGTAACCCTTTAAAGACGTCCTGAGGCTGGGCAGGAGCATCAATGTAACCCCGCCAGAAATTGTCAACAACCCGTGGAAATGTGTGGAGCATCCAATATAACCATTTTTAGAGTCCAGTCCGGTCATTATCGCATGACTAAGGTCAGCGCATGAAGAGTGCCGAGTATGCTCACGCTGTGTTGTTGTTGTTGTTGTACTGGTTCGTTTAACCACGCTTAGCCCACATCAGTCTAAGTCATCGAGGTCATTTAACTTGCGCTTCAGAAACGAGCTATTTCGACAGTTCGCGAACAGAATGAAAGTTGGTTAGAGGACTAGATTTAAAGGGCATGCAATAGGTGGTTAGATGTGTGCGGGGGCATAATACGTTGAATATGTCCGGGCGAAGTCTGGATAAGTAGGATTTTAGTCGACTACAACTCTTCGTCTGCAATAGGTGGTGATTTGACTTCAAGAACGACGTTTACTAGATGAGAGCTCAACAAGGTGTTAGCGGATACTCGGTGGATGCATTTAAAGCCAGCGAACGTAATGCTGAATGCAGTCCTTGTAATCAAATACTCCCTTCCTGATGTGTATAGGAAGCTGGTGGCTCAACTTCAAATAAATGTCAGTGGGGAGACTTCCAACTAGCATCCTAGCCGTCATTATTTGCACAGCATAGTTTTGTATTATGCTCCTTAAATCGTAGCATAGATGCTTTGCTGTGCAAGAGATGCTCTGGTGGCATCAAAAGGTTTCTTGTCACGATCCTGAGAGCTCGTTGCTTCTTCATCGGTGTCTCGCGTCTCAAGTTGCCCTGCATAAAGTAGACCTAGACATTATGAATCACCCACCCGTATGATTATTAGCCGCTTCCAAAATTGATAGAAAGAGCTGAGAAAAAAAGGTATAATTAAAGGCAGTTTCAGCGTATTTTAAAGATAAAGTGAAAACATTTTTTTGGTGGGAGTGTAAATAAATTAAATGAAAAGTCTGAAAAATATAGCCGTCTTGCAGGTGAATATATTGAAAAGAAAAAATATTTTGTTTTTATTCCGCGAACATAAAAACGCTACCTCGTATCAGAGGTCGCAAAATATGATAAATCATTTTTTTATGTGTTTTGAATGTTAAATCGTATTTTAAAAGTATACATATATGAATTATTCACATATATATTTTTCTATCAAGAGAAGTGAGAGCACGAAAAATTTAGCTTTAAAGACGACTGCGAAGAGAGAATGAAACTACCATTAAATTATTGTATCATGAAGGTGTATAAAATTATTTTCACTCAGTGTGCAAGTTGTTGCTGTAATGGCAATGTCAACCAACAAGTGCCTTAAATATTTTTTTTACATAAATTTGAAATTTTTCAAACTCACTACGTTCAAGGGAAACTATATTTTGCACTAAGTTGGCATTGATGTAGCAGCAGCAACTTGAATAGAATTTATATTTAATTGTAATTATTGTATTTGTGCCTTTTTGTTGCTTTTGTTGTTTGGTTTAATTGTAATATATTTTTGTGATTTGTTGTTTTTTTTTTTTTGTTTTTTGTAGCACGCATTGTTTAGCTTTGGTAGTAGTATTTATTTCAGTTTGTCCAAGTATGTTTTTTGAAATTTTCACTGTGTACGCTCGGATCCTGCTTATGAAAGGAAATCAAATTTGTTATCTAATAATTTGGAACGCCAGAACTCGAAATAGTTAGTATAGTAGTTGAGATAAACATGAATCAGAAATTATATGCCACTCAATTGTTTTCTAACACCTGACAGTTTGGGGCGTTTACATAATTTTTTTATTAAAATGTTTTGTTCAATTATTGAATCTGCTTTTAAATAAATAACTATTCAACTCGTATAACTAAATTACAACATAATAGCCCATTAGCAGTAATGGAGTGCTGACGCAAAGTTGCTCTTTCAAAAGTTGATTCGTCTCTTCCCTTCAGGCGGACTTGAGTGGTTGCGAAGGTCAGGGTGTTAGCCAAAGGGTTTGGGGGACTAAATTTGTCTGTTGATGTTTACAAGCTGTTGTTGTTGTTGTTGTTGTTATCATAGTCGTAAAAATATACTGCACTGTAGCATTGGCTGAATTTTACGTGATAAAATCTGGCTCATTCCGATGTAAAGACCCGACTGTCTAGTGGAACTTTTGGATTTTAGTCGCCTCATAGGAGGGGCATAACTTAGCGTGCTTTCTTGTGGAAGTTCTTGCTATGCATCTATCATGGTAAGCTCGATATATTCTGTTGTTAGAATATTAGACTATTTCTGATGCCAGCTGCGCTCCATAACTGGATCACATACATTCTTAATGGTTTAATAGTGGCGTTATAGTAGAGGACCTTGTTATTCAGACCGAGCTCATATTTCTCCTTTAAAAGCCAATGTAAACTGGCAGATTTAAGCTTTATAAAATATATAATTGGCGCTTTGTAACCGCTGAAGCGATTTTCGGCCGAACTCCTCCTCCCATTTCAAATGGAGAGACCTACATTTCATACTAAGCCGCCTCCGAACGGGTGATGGTTTTTTATTAGGAGAAGTCTTTATTTCATGTCATAAATACATTCGGTAGGGTGAACATTCCCTGCCATGGGGCGACCGCAATTAGAATATTTAGCTAGCAATGCTAACCAATCGGCTACCGTGGCCACCAAGCTTTAACAGCTGATTTTAGCAGAAATGTGCCGCCTTTAACTTAATCTCTATCTTGGTGTATGCCAAGTCGTATAACATCGTTATCTTGTAGAATGGGTACATATTTGAGCTTCCCAGCAAGTTCGTTTTCAACTCAAATGTAAATGGTATGGACTTGCACATTTTTTCGGTGGCTTTAGTATTAGCCATTTTTTGCCTGCTTAATATGTAAAGCAACATCAGCTGAAAAAGCACTTTCTCACTTGCGGGAATAGCTCTGTTGGCTATATATAGCAGAGAGTGTAATGTAACGGAACTCCTTTTTTATTTTGCTCCATTCGTTATCGGTTTCCTTTGCCGATTGTCAATAGTTCATAAAAGTTCATGCAACTCTGCGCGTAAAACTGGCATATATGTAGCTACGAATGACAACTGAAATGAGAAACGAAATCGATCACCTGATCTGTGTGTGCTCAAACCGAAAAAAGATGCTAAGTTTTCCTATTTCAAAAGCCATACAATGTTACGTTGAGAAATATCAGTATTGCGCTCCCTCTTGGCAAATTTCGATAACTTTTTGCCTCACCGAACTACTGATACTGACCAACAGCTCACCGAACATGTCTAATCTCTGCGATATGTACAACAGTAATGGTTCAAAAACAGTACTGTGACATATCTGCCATGATCGGATACTCTCTTGCCATATATTCATTTACTTTTACAGTACACCATCTGTTGGATAAGTAGATTCTATTTTGTCCCCTTCAAAGTTCTCCCCATATATATATGCCAACGTTTTTTCCAAACCTCGAAATACTTCTGAAACGCGTTTTTTAGTGTCGACAATAGCTCCAGCTTCGATTTTCTTTTATCTCCTCAATCGTAGCAAAACGCTATCCTTTCATCGGTGTCTTCAGCGTGGGTCAAGTCCGGTGAATACGGTGGTTGAGGCATGATACTGTTTTTGCTTTTGACCAAAAGCTCACGCACAAGCCTCGATGTCTGAGCTAGTGGGTTATCATGGTGAAAAAGTCCATGATTGTTTTTTCCATAATTCTGTGCGTTTCTCACGAATTTCTTCGCGCAAACGGCTCACAACTCCTAGGTAATATTCCTTATTGAACGTACGACCTTGTGGCAAGAATTGGACGATTATCCAAAATCATTTTCTTAACTGCTTTAATGTTATCGTCGGTTGTTGACGTGCTCGGGCGGCCAAGACGAGCATTGTCATTGAAATCTTCTCGGCCTTCCTTAAACCGGTCAACACTTCAAATGTCGTTGTGCATTTAGTTTTATTTTTTTTACACAAATCTTAATAAATTTTCTATAATCTATTTTTTCGCATATTAAAAAATCGAAGAGTATGCTAAAACACAGGTTGGTCGCCAAAAACAGACTGATAATCCAAAATGGCTCACCTCGTTTATCATTTTCGTGGAGAAAAGGAGACATTTTTGATAGCTGCGATTTTTCGAAAAGTTTTGTAAAGACGAAGCAACAGACTAATTGAGGTTCGCGAGGGAGGTTCGCGTCTTTACCTAGTTTAATTTCCCAGCTTCTAGAGAGCGCTGAAAATCGTTGCAGGAAAAACGAGCGAGATGATCATATCTAGGAAATGTTTTTTGATCTAGGACGGATTTAACCTCTTTCAGCTCAGAAACAATTTTTACGTGCTTTAGTAAATGAAAAGAAATTTACGGCGAGTTGTAAGGTTCCGGCTTTCTCATTTTCGAGCATAGTTCAATTGATAATTTTACTTTCATTATTAATTTTGCTTTTTTATATTTCTTTATAAATTTTTCTCGTCTTTGCTTTTTGTGTCTTGCCCATTTATGTGCGAAACATCCTTAGTTTACACACAGCACACTCTCACTAATACTCATTAATACCCTGCATACCCTTGTATCCTCCACCGATTGCCCCCTCAAAAGCTTAGCTATGGATGTGTGTGTTCCTCTTACAAAAACTAGCAATGCAATAACAAATGTCTTTCTGTGGCTCTAAAATGCACCGGCAATACGAGTAATGCCTCAATGAAACACAGCAAAAGCAATAAAAGCAAAAAGCAAAATAAATACTTTTAATGCACTCAAATAACAGTAAAAAATAAATAACGTAACGTGTAATTCCAAAACAGATTGTCCAGCAGGCCACTGGGGACGTGATTGCAGTAAACAATGCGATTGCCTTAACAATGCCACATGCGATCCTGCGACGGGTGACTGTGATTGCGCCAAAGGATATACGGGTGAGAAGTGCGGCGATACATGTCCGCCGGATCACTACGGTGCCAAGTGTATGGAGGAGTGTCGCTGTGAGAATGGTGGCAGCTGTCATCACATTTCGGGCGAATGCAGTTGTGCGCCTGGCTTTACGGGGCCCTTGTAAGTTGAGAGACACTAATGAGAGAAGTGAAAAAAAGTGTTTAGGTGCTCAAATGGAAGCATACTTTTGCTGACCATATCGCGTGACTCGCCGTATGCTTTTACCTTCCCAATTTCTCACCCCAAAAAGTGTTTACTTTCCTCATATATGATTTGATTTCATTTATTTTTCTTTATTCCACTTCTTCTCCCACACAAAACAAGATGTGAAGATTTATGTCCCGACGGTAAACATGGCGTGCAGTGTAAACAGGATTGCCGTTGTCAGAATGGCGGTAAATGTGATCCGAAGAGTGGCGCCTGCTTGTGTCCAGCCGGTTGGACGGGCGATGTCTGTGCCAACAAGTGTCCCCTCGGCTTCTTTGGTGAAAAATGTAAGGAGCAATGCGAATGCTTCAAAGGTGGTCCCTGTCATCATATCACTGGCAAATGTGAGTGCCCGGCCGGCTACTTGGGTGAGCTTTGCTATGAGGAGTGTCCGTTCAATACGTACGGTGTAAATTGCACGGAGAAGTGCAAGTGTCAGAATGATGCGAATTGCGATAAGGCGACAGGCGCTTGCGAATGTGCGCCCGGCTGGAAGGGAGATGACTGCAGTGAGCGTATTTGTCCATACGACAAATATGGCAGTGATTGCAATAAAACGTGCGACTGCGATGCGCCCAATACACACTATTGCCATCCGGAGACGGGTAAATGTTACTGCGAGAGCGGTTGGAGTGGCGCTCAATGTAATCGGCCATGTCCATTCCTCAAATACGGTCCGAGTTGTGAACTGAATTGTGAATGCTCGAATTCGGCGCGTTGTTCACCGATCAACGGTACCTGCATATGTGCGCCGGGCTTTCAGGGTGAGCGCTGTGAAGAACGTTGTCCGGAGGGTCGTTATGGACAGGACTGCGCACAGAAATGTGAATGTCAGAACGGTGCTGTATGCTCACACGAGACGGGTCAATGTAGCTGTACGGCCGGTTGGCGGAATATTAAGTGTGATCGTCCCTGCGATCTCTATTATTATGGTGAAAACTGTAAATTCAAGTGTAATTGCCAAAATAATGCCGGTTGTAATCCACAAAATGGCACTTGCACTTGTGCGCCCGGCTGGATGGGCGAAAAATGCGATCAGAAATGTGAGCCGTTTACGTTCGGGCTCGGCTGTGAGCTACAATGCGAATGTGATGCGAATAATACGATTGCTTGTGACTCGGCGAGCGGGAAGTGTGTCTGCAAGCAGGGTTGGGGAGGTAGGTTTTCGAGACTTAGTGGTTTTTCAGGGTGGTTGGGGAAGGCTTCATCGTTTAAAACAATCATTCTTTCATATACAATCTCATTAGCCATTCATACTCACATCCGTACATACTCCTTCATACTACTGACAAGTGCATCACATTAGAAATTTCGGAAAGTCATAGGACAATATTTGGATACAAAATTATTTTTTACACCAAATTTCATGCTATAGTCCTAATTTGAAAATTGTCCAATACTAACTGTAAAAAAAATTAAAAATTTATTATGGTTTGAAGAAAGTTAATAGTACCAAAAATTTCGTTTCTTAAGTTAATAGTTTAAAAAAAAAGTAATTACGATTTTTTAATGTTTTTTTCGAATAATTTTTCGTTAGTCACATCCAACAAAATTATTTATATTCCATTTTTTAATATTTTTCTTTTCAATTAAATATTACGGGTTTTTGTTGATTTTTTAACATAAAGAAGTAAATTTTTTGATTAATCGCTTACACAAAAATACTTCAATAAAATTTTTTGATATTTTTTAATTATTTATTAAGGTAATTTTTATTACTTTTTAACATAAAGTGTAAGTTTTTTGATTAATTACTTTCACTAAAATATTTTAGTTAAATTTTTTAATATATTTTTTTAATTAATTATTACGATTTCTTTTCATTTTTAAACATAAAGTGTTTTTTTTTTATTAATTATTTTCAATAAAATTATTTATATTAAATTTTTTAATATTTTAACATAAAGTGTATTTTTTTCCTTTAATTACATTCACTAAAATATTTGTATTAAACTTTTGAATTTTTTTTTTTTAATTAATTATTTCGGAATTTGTTTATTTTTTTAACATAAAGTGTAAATTTTTTGACTAATTACTTTTAATAAAATATTTCAATTTTTTTAAAATTTTTTTTTTTTTTTTATAAATTAATTATTACGTTTTTTTTTTTGATTTATTAACATAAAGTATAATTTTTTTTTTGTTTAATTACGTCCATTAAAATAATTCTATTCAATTTTTTTAATGACGACTGTTTTTCTTTCAATCAAAAATTTTTGTTCAAATAAACTAAAACTTAAAATGATTTTAATGAGTTATTAGAAAATTCTGCTCATTTTCTTTTCTTTTTAAGTCTTGTAATAATTTTTTTTTAAAAAGGCTTTAGCTTATAATGGCGAATTTTTTTATTATAAAAACCATAATATTTTTAAAACGTATTTTTTGAAATAGTTTTCCGTTTTTTTAATTTTTTAATAATTATAATTATAATAAAGATTTTTCTTACTATATTTTAATTATTATTTGGTTTTTATTGTTCCTAAAGTAAGCTATTTGTCATAAAAAAATTTGCTTGGAATATCAAATTTCGAAATCAAAATCTACTTAAAATCTACTCACCCATACTCACATCATACACTACTACAACTAAATAAAATAACAGTACTTTTATTAATAATTTATTATTATTTTTTTTTTTATTTTTCCCAATATTTCTTTGTTATGTATTTATTTGTTCGTTTGCGTTGGATTGCGTTGCGTTACGTTGTTTACGTTTGCATTTTACGTACACAAATAAATTTAAAAAAAAGGTGTTCATTGCGAGACAAATTGTCCAACTGGTTATTATGGTGAAAATTGTGATCAAGTTTGCAGATGTCTAAACAACTCCTCCTGTGATCCCGACACCGGCCGCTGCATTTGTTCGGCTGGCTGGACTGGCGCTGACTGTTCGGAGCCGTGCCCGCATGGTTTCTTCGGTGTTGGCTGCCGTGAACGTTGCCCCGACTCGACACAAAGTGAGTGCAATAAATAAAATCGTACAAATTTTTAGTATTTCAATTAATTTTATTTTCTATTATTATTTTTTTCATATTTTCAACTCCTAGATAACACCAGTTGCGATCACATAACCGGTGAAATGGTCTGTCGTCCCGGTTACATTGGCTTGACATGCAAACACCCATGCCCGAGTGGCTACTACGGTCCGGGCTGTAAGAATAAATGTCACTGCGAGAATGGCGGCGAGTGTAATCATGTGTCGGGTCAATGTTTGTGCTTGCCCGGCTGGACTGGTGCCAATTGTAATATTTCATGTCCCGATGAATACTATGGTCCGAATTGTGCGCAGCATTGTCGCTGTCAAAATGGTGGTACCTGTCGTAAGAATGATGGTTTCTGTGTTTGCCCGGCAGGCTGGATGGGTACACGATGTGAAGAAGGTAGGGAATATTGGAAGTTACTCAATGGAGAGAGCAATGACAGTTTCCTACAATGTCTAGAATATTGTTATTAGTTATCTAATAGCTCCATATATAAGATCATGAGCAGTATTTTAAATGTTTTGCCCTTCAATACCACAAAGATCAACCTCACGTACAAATTAATGCTTACCATTTCTTGCTTGCAGTATGTCCGGAGGGTTTCTATGGCAAACATTGCATCACTCAATGCGAATGTCCATCACAGAACTTCGTCTGTCACATTGCTGTCGGCTGTGTTTGTCGTAAGGGTTATACGGGCGCTAATTGCGATAGGTTGGCGGCTGAGGAACGTATACAGGAGGCGCAAGTTGAATGTGAGTAGTTCTCACTTTTTATTTATTATTTTATTTTATTTATTTTTTTTGTTATTTTCTTTTATTTAATTTTTTTTTATTTAATTCTAATATTCAACAGCCAACAAGGGTGCTATCGTTTGGGGCTCCTTCATATTCCTCATTTTATGTGGCATCATAATTGCGCTCGTCTTCTACTATCGTCGTCGTGTCTCGAATTTGAAGACCGAAATCCAACATGTGCAGTACATTAGCGACCCCAGTCAGAATTGGGCTGATCGACATAATTTCGATAATCCTGTTTATGGTTTCCCTGAGCAGCAGCAACAACAGCGTTTACTTAACAATAAACGACCGATAATAAATAATTTGGGGCGCAGTGATTTGTATACGGACAATTCGAATGCGAGCACTGGATGTGAGTTGCAAATATTCAAAAATTTTTATGTATTATGATTTTATTATTTGAAATTATTATTTTCAAATTTTTAGCTGCTTCATATTCGGTGAACTTCTCAAATGAAATGTTTACCAAAAATTTAACTGCTGATCTCACCAATCCGAATGTCTATAATTCTTATGAAGATCCTTTGAAGATGGAACATGTTTACGATGAAATTAAACAGAAAGAGGGTTATAATAATCCTGGTGAGTATATTTCTGTCACACACATACATACGCGTATGTATACGTCTTGCCTTTTATGGTTTCATTTGTAATTTCATCAATTCCAATTTCGCAAACGTCAAATTTTAATGTAAATCTCACTTAAATTTCTGCTTCAAAGTCAAAGTGTATTGCAAGCAACTATTTCCTGAGGGTAAGACCAAGAACTCAAGCCAAAAATATATGATCTGGTGTGCGTATATGTTAATGTATTTATCGCTAATTTGTTTCAAATGTTTATTTTTGTGTCAATAAGTAGTTTTAGTATTAAATTTTTGAAACTTAGAATTAGTTCCTGCACTTTCTACTTATATTCGTATTCTCAGTATTTAAACACTTCAAGACAACATTACAATCCTTTCATTCGAGATTTTGAAAGGGCTAAAGAGTTAGGCACATTAGAAGTCATTTTTTGCACCCACGAAAGGAAGGCATGTAAGATGAATAGATTTAAGACATTATTTCGATCTATCGTAATCCCCTGTAAAATTGTAGAAGTTTAAAATGTGCCAAATTCAAAATAGTAGCAGAAATATTTTTAAGGATAAAAATAAAAAGTTTTAGAGTTCCACTGATTTTACGAGCCCACTCAAACACTACGTGAAGAGTAGAAATGTTGCCATCAGATCAATCAGCACCAATTTGGTTTTCGAAGTAATTTTCAATGCGTAAGTTGTTCTAAGCGGATTCACAGTCAACTCCTAACACCCGCTCATGTTGTCATATTGTAGAGTTTACTTTGTTCTTTGAGAGATTTTTTTCCAATTGCCTAATCAGTCTTAAGTAGCACCTGTTGGCAGGAGTGATTTATTCTGCGTTGGATTTCAAGGCTGACATCGTTGTCGGTGTTAATACGGATTCCAAGACGAAGTTATTTACGACTTCAAAGTTTTGGCTATCAAGAGCGGCGTGCAACTGCTTGTTTGATAACAGTCGTTGTTGTTTTTCTTGTTTTTGTTGTTGTAGCGACTATGTTTGACGACAGTATATATATTGTCTTGCCCTCATTCACCTCATTCACTACCAAATCCATACGCTTCGCTTCCTAAACCAGGCTGGAGAAATCAGAAGTCACGGCGCGATTGTTGAGGCTAATGATGCCAATATCATCTGAATACTTTCTCTATTGAGCTCTACTCGGAGAGGTCCTTACATAGCCCTATACCGAATTCAGGCATTGCGGCGTAGAGGCTTTTAAAATCGACAAAGAGGTGGTGTGTGTCGATCCTCCGTTCTCGGGCCATTTCCAAAAATTAGCACATGGCGAGTATCTGGTCATTGGTTGACTTACCAGGTCTAAAGCCACACTGATAAGCTCCAATAAGTTTGTTGACGGTGGGGTGGAGACTTCTACACAATACGCTCCATAAGAGCTTATATGCAACATTAAGTAGGTTTATCCCACGGTAATTGGCGCAACTGTGGTATCGGCACACTTATGTTCCAATCCCCGGGAATGCTTTCATCGGACCTTATTTACAAAAAAAAAAAACAGTTGAATGCACCTTGTCAGCTTTCAGTCGGTAAGGCTCAAGCCGCTTTGAAACGTCTATTCCCTCAACATGGATAATCATCATTGGCATTCAGTAGGCTGGATAAGTATTCCATCCATAAATTCGGTATACCCTGGGTATCAGTCAGTTTTTTTCGACCTTTGTGAAAACGGCTATTTCGTGTGCAGCTGTACATAGAGGGCTTGAAATTCTGTCACACAGTCCCTTATACCGAGTTACTGATGAAAGAGTTTTAAGGTGCTTCCTACGGCATAGCTGTAGTTATGGCATTATGCTCCTTCTTCGTATCACACATTTCTCACTGGCAAGTAAAAATCCGGTGACAACAAGAGGCTTCTTGTTACGGTCCTGAGAACGGTGCCGCGCCATAATGCCCACATCGGAACATCAGACTTTCCAACTCTCATGACAGCTGGTTCTAACATCGGAATGACATAGACTTCATCCGGCCAATGTCTGCCACTTTGCGGCGACCTAAACACGTTTAGTTAATCAGAGTGCAAATAATGTTACCTGTTGACCTAAACGGTGTTAGGTCGCCGAAATGGTGACAGCCCTGGGGCGGATAAAATCCGTGTCAACTCCGGTGTGTAGAACCGGCCGCCTTTAGAGTTGTTGAGAGAGAGAGAGAGTGCAAATAATGATCTCAATTGGTATAAGATAATCAACGACGAAGCCTTTAGCCGTTAGCTATGATTCAATATGATGCCCTTAAGATGGGTTAACTAATTCAATATTTCTCCTTTTCTACTACATTTATCTGCCGCTTGGCTCTGCTGACCATATAAAGTCGATAAACACATATCCGTGAAAGAATGAAAGTTTTTTCGGCCTACACTTCATCTCGAGTCATTCCATTATGTGCTGGCGCCATCAAAAAAGAGCTGCATATAAGTGAAATAACCTCAGTTCGGCTTCAAAAAACCAATTCACTATGCCAGCGGCCTGCTTTTTTGATTTTTTTTCCTATAATATTCCCATACATTCACACGTTTCAAAAAAATGAAAACCAAAGTTGTTTTAGCACATTTTTTTCTGGCACTGAATTTTTGCTTTACCTTCACATTGTATTTTTACAAATAAACTCTTCAACTCTTCAATGTTAATTGTTCATGTTTTATTGTTCATTGTTTATTGTATCCAAATCACTTACTCATACAAAACCAACAAGCTAATATTACCACTTCTCCACCACCCACAGATGAATACGATCACTTGGACTACTCGCGACCGAGCACATCCCAAAAACCACATTACCATCGCATGAACGACACATCGCTTAATCTGAATCGTGACGAAGAAAAGCCCAGCAATTTGAAAGCAATGAACCAACTTTTGGAAACACCAACAACTATAGCAAATGGCAACGGAACGCTCAAGGAGACAGCGGAAGAGTCTGATGATACAGCGGCATCAACATCGCTGGCCGCACTTACCAAGCAATATATGGCCGCTGCAGAGGATGCCACAAGTGATAGTATATGCGATAATGCATCAACTGCCTCACCCAGTTCCAGTCCGAGTCATGTTATTTAAATAAAGAATAATAAATAAATAATGAAATAATGCATTGTATGTTAGCGTGTGTGTAAATGCGTAATTTTAGTTTAGTTATATTATGTAATATTATGCAGATATTGATATAATTTATATATATGCATATGGTTTTAGTTAAGGAAGCGTGAAGTGTGTGTACTGTTGTTTGAAATGGAAATTGAAATTGCGTTGAAAAATGCTCGATAAAGCAACGCGTTTAAAAGAAGTGCTAGTTTCCATGCTTTTATGTTCTTTCAACAATTGTTGTTGTAGACAAAATAACAATACACAGTTTTTGTATAATATACGCTTCCTTATTGTCACATGTACTCATATATATATATGTATGTTTGCTCAACTGCAGTCGATTAGCTTTACTTATATTTTATATATATTTTTATTATGTTTTATATTTATTCAATCACATACATATTTGTAATTTTGGAACTTCTGCATATATAATGTATATACACACATACATACATATTATATATTCATAGCATTGGTACGTCGATATATATAGTATTTATTGTATATTTTGTACGCTCGAATAATATTGTATATAATTTTTTATAAAAATTCAATTTAGAATTGCAAATAAAAAAAAAATTAGCAGAAACCAAAATGAATTAAACAGCGAAATATTAAAAACAAAGTACATACGTGTATATAAGCGTTCTGAAAATGGCTTATGGAAATAAATTGCTTTATACAAAAATTTTCATCTATGTATATACAGACATACATACTTAATTTTTGGCACAGCAATAATTTTCAGCTTTGCGAATATATTATAAATATATAAAGATTAACACCGTTTTTTTTGTTTTTTTTTTTTTTTTTTTTTTGATATAATATTTTTTTTCCGATATGGTTCCAATAATTAACAAGCCCAATGGAATCACTTTTTGTACAATAATTCATTTCAAGTTTTCATTTTAAAATTAATTAGCAAAATGGAAGCCACATTTTCACAGCACATACAAAATTATCGGCACACCCAGTACACTATATTAAAGTAATAAGTAAAATTGTAATTTTTAAAACTAAATTAAATTTTGGTGGGAAGCGCCTTTTGTTTAGTAACAACTTCCAAACGCCTTGACATGGAATAAACCAGTTTTTGAGTCGTTTCCTGTGCTATTGTTTGCCATTCTTCGACCAACGCTTGTTTTAACTTGGACTTCGTTGAAATTGCTCGCTTTTTGACTTGTCCATCTAGTTCTTCACACAAATTTTCAATAGGTTTGAGGTCTGGGGATTGTGGTGGGTGTGACAAAACAGTAGCTTATAAGCCAACCACATACGCACAATATGACCTTAATGCTTGGTGTCTATATTGTGCTGAAATGTAAATTCAACTTTTTCACATTTTTTTTTCTTTTAAAATATTTAAACGAGCCATTTTGTCTATTATATCGTTAATAAATACCAGCTCACCAACACCAGTAGCAGACATGCTACCCCATAATATCACTCCCCCATCACCTTATTTTACGTTTGGCGCAAGATTTCATTTTTCAAATGCTGTATTGGCTTTTTTCTATACCGTAATGCGACCATCTGACCGAAATATGTTGAACTTATTCTCATCTGAGAAAAGCACTTGATGGCGGCATGTATTTGACTTCTTTATAAACTCTGTTGCAGAGTCCCAGCGCTTCATTTGGTTACGCGTAGTGGCTTTGCAATACAGGAATCGTAACCAGCCTCAGAAGGGCACTATCTGAGAAAAATACCTTTTATCCAAAAAAAAAAAAAAAAAAAAAAAAAAAAAAAAAAAAAAAAACAAATGTTAATCAGCTTCAAATATATATGTAAAGCTGAAAATTGTTGCTACGCCAAAAATTAAGTGACCATTTGTGTATAAAATAAAGCTCTAGATTTTGCTTGAACATTTTTATAAACTTGTTCATTGCTCATTGTTAGAGCAATTCGAGCTTTTTCAAGCATCAAGTCGTGTTTATAGAGAGTGAAGTTGTCACATCATGCGATTGCTTGTTCTTCCTTCCGTTTCAACAAATTACACAAACAACAAAATACATGAGCAATAGTTTTTAGCATAACGAACTTTCGATTATAGCAACAAAACACATTGAACGAATTTCGCTTGTGAATTTTCGAAACTTAGATTACAAAAACAAAATATTTGTGTATGTATACTTTTTGTTTTTGTATTCGTGTGTGAATTTTGCCTTGTTCGAGCATTCCCAGCAAAGCTTTTGACTTTTCTCTCAGAACTTCTATCTATAATTTTAAAAAAATTAAAACACAAAACAGCAGTTGAGGAACGAGCGAGTATAGTGCCTATCCAAGCTTTATAAAATATAAGTTTACGACAAGAGCGAAATCATGTTTAGTGACGAAGTTGGTTTAATTTGTGGCTTACCGAAGATTTTAAAATAAATTTTCATAATTTTATTTATAAAACTACTTAAAATTTGGCTATAAAATTATAAAGCCTTGGTTTGCATTTTTTTAGGATTAATAATAATCACAATTAAAATGTTATTAATAGTTTTATAAAGTATTTTAATTCTAAAAATTTTTTAATTATAAAAATTAATATTGTTTTTAGCAAAAATTTCTATACCTAGCAACTCTAACATTTGGTGTCGTATAATACGTATGACATGAGAGGATAAAATATTTAATATAAGAAGAGACTTTCGCATATTTTCTTTAACTGTTGAAAAGCCTTTGGGAAATGTGTGATGCTTATCATGTGAAAAAATCGTGTTTAAAAATTCGAAGCAACAAGTCCAGTGGCTTATTGTAGACAAAAATTAAAAATAAAGTTACTAATGTAATTCATATTAATATTTTCAAAAAATTAAAACTATGATGTGAATGCTATAATAGATTCGTTAACCGTTTTATGAATTTTGTGATATAAGTTTTTAAGCTGAAAACTTGAATTTTGGTATTAAGAAAATCGGATAGTTAAATATTAATATAATATAACATTTGTATATGTCAGAAGAAAATATTTTTTACTGGCACTTAGGTATTAACTCCATTGCGGTGTACCTTTGTGCAAGACTTTCATTGAAATTTGGTAGTCTTCTTCCACCAGGACCATGGTTTCATCAAAACATGCTAAGCCTTACATCTTGTGCATGTAAAAAATTTCCAAATCGGTGACTAAGATCTGTTTTCTTTTGTATAAGAAAAATTTTCCCATAACTATTTTATTAGCATCAAATACATATATATTATTTAAGGGAAAAATTACTTATTTTTGATAATATATATTTATATCAAGTCTCGCCCGCAGAATATATGACGAATTTGGTTCCGTGACGTCTTTGATTGTCGTAACCTTGTATTCTATAAACCTTCTATCGAGCTAGTATCGTGTCTATCCAAGGTTTATAGAGTACAAGGTTACGATAACCGTGGACGTTACCGAACCAACTTCGTCATATAATCAGTGAGCAGGGCTTGATATTTATTTAAGAAAAGTAAAACTTTTTTTCTTAAAAAAAACAGTCACAGATTTAACGATTGCAAGGAGCAAGGCGTTGCCTGTTTTCATCAAACCAGGGCTAAGTTGGACGAAGATCACAAAATTTGAATTAGAGCTTTACGCAGAGGTTCCAAGTACTAATTTTATTAAAGCAATACTTCTTTTTTGCATATATAATATACATATGTTGCTAACTATACGATGAATTCGAGTTTTCTTAATGACAAAACTTCAAATTTTTAACTAAAATAAGTATCGTTAAATTCATAAAATGGGGCGGTTAATGATTTTACTACAATATCGCATGTTTGTTTTGATTTAGCAGAAAATTTTAATATAAAACACTCACATAACATTTTTTCAAAATAATCCAGTGCACACATTTTCACCGTTACGAATTTTTGAACACGATTTTTTTATAAGATAAGGGTTTATTGATTTTCCAAAATCTGTTAAGCAGACAAAGAAAATATGCGAAAATCGCTTTTTATATATAGTTTTAAAAAATACTGTATTTTCAGTTAGAATTTTTATAGTTTTTAACGTTTTTGACATTATTTGCTTATGCCATTCGTATTATATGATACCAAATGCTAGAGTTGCTAGGTATAGAAATTTGTGCTAAAAAATTATATTAATTTTCACAAGTTAAAAGTTTTTAAAATTTGAAATATATTTGTTCGACATAAAACTATTCAGTACGTTTCAATTGTTATTGTTATTAATATATTGTAAAAAAATTACCGTGCAAGACTTTAAAGTTTTATAGTAAAAAATGTTAAGTTGTTTTGTAGATAAAATTATGAAAATTCATTTCAAAATTTTCGGCAAACCACAAATGGAACCAACTACGTCATTAAACATGTTTTCGCTCTTGTTGTAACCTGCTCTTCTATAAACCTTGGTGCCTATGTAATATAAAATACTTTGTTCTGTCGGATCAACTCACCGCCTAAAGGATTGAGCGTAGAGAAGGTTAGAGTAAGAGAAAGTTAGATAAAAAACGATTTTTTTGGATGGCAACCTGTGACCGATTTATTCGAAAAAAAAAACTTCTTTCAATTTTAAATTGTTAAAATTTTATGAAATTTACCTAAAAAAAGCTCTTTGCCTAAATTTGCATGGAAAAACCTTTTTGTGGATCTCACTCAAGGCAAATTTACACACGGTAGTAGCAAGAATACAAAAACAAAAAGCCTGTGTATTTTGTTGGTGTAATCATAGTTTCGAAAAATGAAAAACGAAAATCGTTTAATGTATTTTGTTTGTGTAAACGAACGTTCGAAATGCCAAAACCTATTTCTCATGTATTATGTGTTTGTATTTTTTTTTTTTTTTTTGAAATAGAAGGAAGAACAAGCAATCATATGATATGCCAACTTCGCCTTCTATAAATTCGCCTTGGATCTCATTCGAAAATTGTTTTATATCATTTGATTTACATGATGTTTGGTACAAAGTTGGCTTTGGGCGTAAATTAACGTCGAAACCAAATAAATGCTCTTTCTTAATTTTCTTTTTTTTGAGTGGAATTTTAAAAAAATGTTAATAGACGGTATTTAATGTAGTTTAACAATGAACGATTCATTTTAAAAATTATTGGGTCCTCTTGTTCATGTAGCCGATCTCCAGAAGGCTCTCAAAAAAAAGGGTGTCTGACGGTGAGTAGGATATTTCTGCTTCAAATTATCTCAATACCGAAAACCAAAAATATTATAAATATTATAATGGATGAATACAGGTAATGAACGAAGGAATTGTGAACATTTTGATATTTGACAAAGTCAAAAAAAAAATTTGTCTTTCGTGAGAAATTCTACACTTCAAAGTGGCTAAAAAAATCGGAATTCTTGCCAAAAATTTTATTTCTTCGTTCATTACCTAACACAAGTGCCGTGAAAATTTTAACACGATCGTTTCGTTCAGCCGTTTCAGACAAATTTTCCTCACCGACTCTGAAAACGGCTTTTCGAGAAAAACACATTTAAAGTTTCGCGAACCATTCACATTGAGTTAAACTGCTCCGCCTTGCGCTTCGCCTATTTTCGAACGCCACGAGACGTCCTTAATGATGCGATCATATCTACGAGACTGTTTGTCGGATCAACTTCAGATTTTCAGAAAATATTCACAAATAAATATACATTCGAAAAATTAAAAATTAAAAATTGATTTTCTAAAAATTACAAGTGGATATTAGTTATATTAAGGGGTTATATGTAATAAAAGGGGCTTTGTCTATGTATGTCAATGTATGGAGAGAATTTTTTTTCGAAAACGATCTATCTGAAGGAGTTATATTTATGGGCGGAAGACTTTAATTTCTATTTTTAGGCGTTTTAATTTAATGTTTCATAAGTTCAGTATGGATTTTGGTGACCTTTTTATTGATTTTAAATTCAAATCTCAAGCCGATGAATTTTAATAAAATAAATAGCACTGTTAGCTTGCGCTAATATAATTGTTTTGTAATTTTAATTCTAATTAACAATAAAATTAATAATATTAATAAATAACCTAAAAAAATCTATTTAGAACCGACCTAAAATCCCGTACGAAGTCGCGGGCAAACTCTAACATTATATAAAATATTAAAAAATCATACCAAACTAATTAAATTTTTTTTATTTATCTCAGCAGCAAGTTACATTGATGTTATTAGGATATTTTCGCTTTAAAAAAATCACTAAAAAAAAATATTTAAAACTTCCAAGCCGCCTTTGGTAATTTTTGCTATAAGCCCTTTTCGGACGAACTATTTAACTTAAAAGAAAATATGTATTTTTTTAGATTTATTTGAATTAAAATAAATAATATTTTTCTCCTACAGTTGACGAGTTGCTCAATTTTCTTTTTTAAATTTATGGTGATAATTTTAGTATTTTTTTTTTTAAAGATTTTACTTTAAGTTACTTCAATGTAGCGCGATTGGCATTTCGTTGCGCTTGTGTGTGCTGTGTATTTGCTATTTTCATAATTCAAATAACTATTACAACTGCTCTATATGCATACATAAATAAACATGCATATCTAACGATTTAAGAAAAAATAAATACAAAAAAAAAACAATTTTATCGAATTAGTCTGAAAAGAAATCCATTATTACATCCATACAAAATCATATTTTATACACAAAAATTAAGTTATATTAATTCAAAAAAATATTAAAAATATTGTAACTTATACATACGAGTATAATATTATATGTAATTTTTTGGATTTTACCGGAAAGAAAAAAGAAAGAAATAAAATTATATTTTCTAATATTGCATTTAAGTTAAAATTAAGTCATTGAAAATTTAAAAAATTTAATTGAATCATAAAATTTTCTTCATCTGGAAAATTGCTCAATTTTACTATACACAAAGCAATTATTTCTTAAATGAAACTTTAAGTAAAAATAAATAAAATTATGTATATAAAAATGATGTTTGTACAGAAAAAAAATAATGGTTGCATAAATATATATATTTATGTATGTTGTCAGTCAAAAAACCAGTACCTCTTCCCAATATGTAAACCAACTTAAAGAAAAAAAAAATATTGAAAAAATAAAATTAAATGTTTATAAATATTAATAAACAAAACATAATTTAGAGCACATAACTGTCTTATGAATTAAACAATATTCAAATTTAATATTAACATACTTAAATGTACATACATACATACATAAATATACATACATACATGCATAAATATACATACATATATACATACTTGCATGAGAAACAATAATCATTGAGTGAGATACAGAGCAATAATGAGAAACTGAATATCAGTAATTAAAAGGAAAAAAAAAATATTTTAAAAAATTATTTAAAGTTTCATTGGAAAAAGTAGCAAAAATAAGCAAAGGAAAGAAGAAGAAAAATCAACTTGATAATGAGAAAAAAATTAAAAAAAAAAATTAATTACCGAGACAAATAAATTGGGAAAAAATGTTGCAAACACCAACCCATCCACCAAGAAAAGAAAAAATAAATAAAACAATAACACTTTAGTTAACAATTAAATATTAAATTGTTGTATAATAAAACAATGAGTACTCTGCTCTAATTAAAATTTTTCTGAATTGTCCCAAACAAAAAAAATTTAATTACCTGTCTTTTTAATATTGAAATTTTAAGCGCTAGAATAAATTTACAAAGTAAAAAAAAAAAATTAATATGCCAAATTTTAAAATATTCTATGATACTTTTATTAAGTTTTGTTCGCAAAAAAACAACAAAATTAAATTAAAAATAAATAAATACTACTTACACATTTAACTAAAATATAAATTGCGCAATGAGGAAATGCAAAGCATATAATGTGGAAAGATAGAACTTAGGATAAGCAGTAAGAATATAATATACATACAATATACATACCATATAAAAAAATACAATAAATAATTGTAGCACACATACATATATTAATATAATTAATTTGAATGATTAAACAAATAAGTATGAGAAACAATATTTTATTATATTATATTTAATAGCGATAAATAACAATGAGTTGTCATCAATATATTTGTGTGTCTGTACGAGTATATATTATATAATATTTCAAACAACATGTAGCAGCTGCCATACTGTAGCATTTTCAAAATCCAAACTTTTGTGTGCTCCCTTCCCACTGGATTTTGTATACAAATTTGTATTTGTCGTAGAAATTTAATTGTATTACGAAAATTATGCTCATAATTGTTTAACAGTTAAAATGCTGATATGTTTATTATATTTAAATAAATATATATATATGTATATTTTTAAACAATTTCGTTTTTAGCGTACCTTGGGAATGAAAAAAAAATTTAAAATTGTTTTTTTTTTTTTTAATTTCATTTAATACAATCCCTTCATCCCGTTCGAAAATTAATTTTCCAGCAGGTCTGCAGAAGACTCCTCCGCGGCGTTGATGATTCCCTCGCATAAGCTGAATTTTTTATTGATAAATCATATTTTGAATGCGGAAGCAATTGGCGCCCTAAGTCGTTGAATTTAGTCATGAATGCGATGCATTTGTGCGCCGCCGCATCAAACAACAATCAGGTGTCAAAAGAAAACTAAGGGCAGTATTGCACGGAGATATGAACGGACTACAAGGCACTACCTTTTGCAGTAGCAGCGGTAAGGGAGGCTACTTTGAACCCCACCAGGATTTTAATAGATATGAGAAACCCTTTAAGGCCAAATTCCACTAAAAAATTTTCAAAAAATCGAAATTTAGTTTTGCTGCAAATATTTAGAAAATACTCTTAGAAATTATATAGAATCAGTGCCGAAGGCTGACAATATCAAGAAGTTAGTATAAAAGAGGAGAGAGCGGTAAATCCGGCCGCTGGAGACTTTAATCGTCTTTTTCTCGAAACCACATTTTTTAACTGTGTGACACTCTCATTTAGAACCTATTCAACTTATCAACCTGAACTAAACGGCATTTTAATTGTCTCTCTATGGTCGATACTACAAACAAAAATATTCGTTGTTAATTTAAAAATTTATAAAATTTAGAACTGAAAAAGGGTGAAAAATTAAAAAGTTCGCCATTTTTTTTTTTTTTTTTTTTTGATGTAAATGGTATACGGAATAATAAACCGTTTTGATTTTTGCTTGCAGATGATTTGTTTTACAGTTATCATGTCACTCACAAAAAGAAAGGGACGTGTTTCAGCAGCAATTTCAAGAGCCAAATAAAACTTTTTTTTTTTAAATAAATAAAATTTGTTTAAAAAAAACACATTTTTTGGAGGAACCTGGCTCTCTCAAAAATAGTAGTAATAGAAATCTCAATTTCATATTCACAAGCAGCTCTATAGTCCGGCTGAGGCCAAAGGCTTCTAGAATAAATGCTTACCACAGCACCAAAACAATATTAAGGGGGGAAGCTGGTCTAGAGTTTTGAAAAAAACGAAAAAAAAATTTTTTGTCTTAAAAGGTGCTTTAGGATCTTAAAAATAACATACCAAAAGATGGATGCCGGCAAAAATGTCTAAAAGCCCGAATTTTTCATTCGACGGCTGTGCCTCGCAGGTATGCCCCGAGCGACCTACAAATTTAAGCGCTTTTTTTCTCGAAATCACTTTTTTAACCTGGCCGAAGACGTAACTGGAACAAATCTTCACCGATTCTTATGAAATTTTGAAAGTTCTGACGGTTATAGCTTTGTGTGATCTTATGCAAAACGGACTCAGGCAGATAGAAAAAGTGGGCTATTGATGCTGGGTTGGATATCAACCAAGAGAAAACTGAACTCATTCCTCTTTCACCAGGAAGTAAAAAATTCCAAAATTTTCAATACCAACGCTCTCAGAAACGGACCTGTGAAACTCATCCAGCGCTTGGAAAAAAAAATCAATTATCTCCAAATTCGATAGCGGACAGAGGGCGGCGCACCTGTGTATCAGCGGTGTATTTCGTACCACACCAACTGAGGCTATGAATGTTCTCTTTGATCTACTCCCCATTGACATAATGGGACTGCACAATGATACTTACGTCGCGGTAAGGTTACAAAAGGTGTCCGAATGGATAGTAATAAACCGCGAGCATACTAGCGTCTGAAGAAGATGCCGTCCTCCAGAAAAAACGGATTACTGCATATAAATCACTGACTTCATGCCTGATTTCAAAGTGGTTATCACGGATAGAAATCTTTGGGACGGGATAATACCTAGGTAAGCGCCGACCCTATTCATTTTTATACGCACGCGTCAAAACTGAGAAGCAGGGTTGTTGGCGGTCTATAAAACCTTTCGATTACGGGATCACTGCAGTGTTTTTCAAGCTCAATTGGTGGTTATACATGAGGCTTTCAATTGTTTCAGCTCAATGGTGCTCTCGGATAATCGTATCCATATCTTTTCTGGAGCCTGTAATAAAGAAATCTGAAACCGTAGAGGACGAAGCACGATGGCTAAGAAGTTCTCTCTGAACGTGGTATGGGTATGGCGATATGGCGATATGGCGGACGAGCTTACAAGAAAGGGCACTTCCGTTCCACTTTCGCCATCATGAAAGAGTTTGGACATATCCCTCCCCACTTGTAAGCGTAATATAAGAAAGTTGTACGCTAAGGATACTAATGTAAGATGGAAAAGGCTCAATACTTGTAATATGGCCAAGACATTATGGCCAGAAAGGAATAGCAGAAGGTCACGTTATCAAGCTGAAAAGAAAGGTGATATCTATAGTTATAGGTCTTCTTACAGGACATATCTCTTTTCAACCAACCAACCAACCAACCTTACCTGATGCAAAAAAAAATATCAAGAGATTCTAGCTTCAGTCTATTTGAACTAAAAAACTATGTTTTTTAAAACTTAAAACGCATTTTTTTATTCCAAAAAGTGTATTTTTTTTTAATCTGGAACTCTTTAACCTTTTCGATATTTTATATATAGAATAGAAACTCAAAAAGGAATTTGAAAAGTAAAGTCCTCTCCCGACGAACGAAAACCAAACTCTACAAGTCTCTCGTCGTTCTCGTCCTGCTATATGGTTCGAAAGGATGGACGATGACAACATCTGATTAGTCGGCGTTAGGAGTTTTCGAGATATAGGCTTTGCGTAAAATGTATGGTCCTTTGCGCATTGGCAGCGGCGAATAACGCAGACGATGGCACGATGAGCTGTACGAGTTATACGGCGACATTGATATAGTTTAGCAAATGAAGAGACGGTGGCTACGCTGGCCAGGTCATGTGATCCGGATAGATGGGAATACTCCAGTTTTGAAAGCTTTCGATGCAGTAGCCGCAGATGGAGAGGAAGATCTCCACTCTGTTGGAAAGACCAGGTAGAGAAGGATCTGGCTGTACTTGGATTTCCGATTGGCGCCAAACAGCAAAAAAAAAAGCTGAAACGATTGACGTAATGTTGTTAAATCGGCTAAAATGGCGTAAGCGGTGTCTACGCCAGTAAAGTAAGTAAGTAATGCTGAACTTGATAAGCTTAAAAAGCAAGACTTTGAAGACGGTTTTCAGAAATGGATCCATAGGCTTAAGAAATGTTTTGGCGATTATGTAGAGAGGATGAAAAGGGACAAAGATTACGAATAAATACAAAAAGAATTTCTATTTTCTTTTTTTGGACTACTTACCGAACTTTAGTCAATCCCCTCGTATATTGTCGAAATCAAACCACCTTCTTTGTGTATATTTTTCAAATTGTTTCGTTGATGAAGTAATAATTTATTTAATTTATTTTGTAACCAACTTTCATTGCATTTATATTTACTTATGTCCATACACATACATACAAACAACGTTTTTTATACTTAAAGTACATATAACACCATTTTAGCACAGTCAAATGCCATTTAGATTCTTCTCTTCTTCTCCTCAACATTTGCTTGATAATACAGTATAATATTGAATATACGAGTAAATATGTATATATTTGATATTTTTTAATTATACATAATTATGTGTATATCTAAGAAAGTAGCGGCTATAGACTAAGCGACTGGAATGAGTGTGCAACTTACAACTAGAAAAAACTCTCCCTCTCTCTCTCTCCCTGCGCTCTATTTGCTAAGCATGTTTGGGGGGTAAAAAACAAGCACGACATCGTAGGTGGCGATAGTGAGTTTACAAGTAACCATGCCCAGCCACTTCGGCGGGTATGTAGCCCTCACGACCGTCGCGGGTGCGCACGTAGAACCACTGTTGATGATCTTTGGATTCACGACACTCGCAGAGCGTCACAATTTCGCCCTTGTGCAGGATGATGCTGTCGGTGGTATAATCGGTGTTGATGGCGACGAGCGTCTGACGTAAACCGTGCGGCTGTTTGCGACTGACCATATGTAGGACGCTGGCGTGGTGATGATGTGAACTCCGCACGCTGCCATTTACCGAAGATTTGCCAGCAAAGCTAGCGCTATGCGTCATGGAGGCAACGCTGGGCGTCGCATTCGAGACGCTGACGGGAGCTGCTGAACTGTTCGGATTCTTTGGATGTAGATGCTGACCGTTGTGACCGTTTGTGATGTAGGGACCATTAAAGAGCTGTTTATGGTGCAGCTGTTGGAGCTGCTGCTGTTGTTGTTGCATATGTTTTTGCACATGCAATTGGGACTTGTGCTGATGTTGTTGTTGTTGGCGTTGTTGTAGCGTTACATACTCATCATTCCCGCCATTGCGCAACGCCAGCGCCTGCTTGGTGGACTTGAGTTGCGCGTAAGCTTTCTCGACTAGACGCGGTTGCGATGCGGCACGTAAATAGAGCCGATCCACCTGATGCTCGCCGCATGTTGAGGCTGTAGCCGACACAATCGAAGAGGCATTGCCATTTGCGGTGTCTACATCGGTACCCACTGCATCACCGCGTTTGCCGCGAGGTGTACGCGCACCATCGGATCGCGTACCGCCACGCAGACGTATCTCCTTCTCGGAGTCGGTCATATTACCGCCTGGACGTGGAAATATATCACCATTAGACTCCCAGCATGGTGCAGGCTTGTTATTTGTAGCTCCGGCGGTGCGCACACTCGGCGGTAGTATGCCGAGCGGCAGACAACACGTGTAGCCGACATAGCCCTCCTCGGCGTGCGGTGTTTGAACGTATAACCAGTTCTGGTTTTTAAAAACCGCATTCACAACCATACCCAGCGGTAGTGGTATCTCAATCTGATTTTGTCCTGGACGCGTTTGGTATAGGGTACAGGCTGTGGATAACACGACAGGTATATTCCCCGGAGAAGCTAGCGAGCACTTCGTTAGAAACTCGTCCACATTATTAATCTCGTAACCAAACTTTGGTCCACGACTACGTTCGCGTCTTTTGCGATGCCGGTGACGTCGGTGTTGGCCTTCCGAAGCTACAATCAAACTCGGCTCAGAGTAAGTGCCCTTTAATGATTTCAATTCGTCTTTTTCGAGCACAACGCCTTTGCTAGTGTCTACACCCCCTGCTGTTACCGTGACCCCACAACCATTTTTACCCAATTGACTCGCCTCTGCACCATCAGCATTGGCTCTACCGTTCGCCTGCAGCGTCGCCATCTTGGCCGCAAGTCTTTTGCGTATTTCGTTGCGCTTTTTAGCCAACGAAAGTGCTTCGCTCGTGTCATAACTTTTCGGTAGTCGTTGCGGCGTACAGACGAAGAGCAACTCGCGTGAGGGTGGGCGCGTCTTATCCCTATACTCAAGTAAATTTTGATTACTGAAGAACTTTTGTGGTGCCAAGGCGCCATTTGCTGGCATGTGTGCTGTGGGCGTGGTTGCATACCCATTGAGTGGATCGCTGTTTCCCGGTATCTGCTTGATCCGATAGCGTTTCGTTGTTGTTGTTGTTGTTGTGGTCGTGGCTGTATTCGTTGTCGAGGTGGTGGTAAGCTGAGTCGGTACCACTTCTGTTTGTTGCTTTGCTGTGAGCGTGCCATTCACGCAACCGTTATTATTATTTGGTGTCTCTGTTGTTCCATTGCCGACGTGATTCGTCGTTGTACTCGGCACGTCATCGTCATTATCACCGCACCCATTTGTGGGTGCTTGTATATCAGTTTGTTGTTGTTGCTGCTGTTGTTGTTGTTCTCTTAATACCCAAGTCAGTGAGATACGCGGCCGGCGCAAACTTAAATTCTGACCCATTATCCGTTGCGTGGAGTTCTGTGTCAATCTTTGGTACTCGACGTCGTCTCTGGTTTCAATGCTTTCCACATTTACTTGTACGCCATTGTCATATCTATGCTCATATGGTCTCAGTTCAGGGGTGCTCACGGCACGTCCCACATCAATCTGCCAGTTATCAGGTTGAAAATCTCTAAAACGTTCTCCTTCTCGATCACGTGTCACTGGACGGAGATCTCCTATTTCCACGTGCTCTGTGGAACACCTACTTTGAGATCTGGGTGGTGGCGTTGCCGTAAAATTGCTAACGGAACTGTCGTTGCTCGTGTCATTGGGTTCGAGGGCTGCCTCGATCGGTTGGTGTAGGATAAGTGAGCAGGCGTGTAATAAATCGGGGCAATAGGCATCTGAAAATGATAAAAAAAAATATTGGCTTTAAAAGGAATTCGTTTTTGTTGATGTCAATTGGATGTCATAGGCCTACTGAAGTATGAGAAATGAGAAGCGTGCGAGCTGACGGAAACTTCTCTCGACCAGTGAGCTGACGTAAGAGAAAAGAACGGTGTATTGTAAAGGGGGGACGACATAATCCAACTCTATCGCTGGGAATGGAGCACCTGCTATTTCATTCTAACTGAGGAAGCTACACAGAAACCAACCAAAAGGTTGCACCAACGTTCGGCGAGCACTAGGCAGGATTTGATCTGCATCGCTGGTAGCGTCAAAACTGCATCCATCAAGATAAAACATTGCTAAAGAAGAAAAATTTATCACAAAGAAAGCTCAGTTTGTTCAAAGGCTCGCATTGCTTCCTTTCCGAATATGGGAGAAGGAAGAACTACACTGCGCGCCCTGGCTGATGGAGTAATTCGTACTTCCGTGACCAAAACTTGCCACAACCTCGTCTCAGTATCTGCTCCTCATGACTTTCTTTCATTAGTGCTCTTATGAACCCCTTCAACCCCACGGTATACATACCCCTTAGTCCGCGTCCAATGCGCTGTTGGCGCCGCTGGCGTCGTCGTTCGCTGCCGATCGGCAAACGGGCGTAGGCTTCACTGTCGCTACTGCTACCACCGGCACCAGTGCCAAACGGAATATTATTGTTGTTGTACTGGTTGTTGTTGTTGTTGTAATTGTTTCGATTGCCAATACTGCAATTGCTGCTGCTACTCGTGCTGTCCGTGCTAACGACGTTAATATTCGATAAACGCTGCTGCTGCAGCAAATGTAAACGACGACGTCGACGTAATTGCTGTTGGTGCTGTTGTTGCTCTCTTGTTGTAACTTGTAACTGTGGTTCAAATAAACACACTTGCTCTGGTACTTGCTGTTGTTGCTGCTGCTGCTCTTCCACAATTGGTGCCACATTCTCGCTACGATACACTAATTGCTGCTGCTGCTGACTTCCCTGCTGACATCCACCAACACCATTCACCGGCAGCACCACTTCAACGTACTCGGCAGCATTACTGCCCAGCAGTAGCGGCGCGTTGAAAGGTTGACATTGTTCGGGCTCTACTCCATAACGCTGCCAGACATCATCAGCTCGTCGGGCGTTTGTGAGCAGACGACCAGTGGTATCCACAGCCGCACCACAGCCACTGTGCGGTGGCGTGTAAGAGGGTGGCGGTGTAGCTGGCAACGAGGCGTAGACTGGCGGTGGAGTTCGGCACAAAACCTGATCGGCAAACTGATTCCGCTCACTCACAGTGTTGTCTGTCCGGTGGAGACGACGGCGTGGAAGGAGGCCGCGTTGGCACGTCGTCAAGCTGTCTAAAGGATTTGCCACTCGAGGCGCAGCAGTGGCAGCACCGGATGCGCTGATGGGCGGCGGTGGTGCAGGTGTAGACGCTGGCAATATGCCGGATTGCTGATGTCCTTGTCCTTGGTCTTGGCTTTGTCTGCCTTCTTGCTGCTGTTGCTGCTGTCGTTCTGTGAATTAAGTGAGAAAAAAGGGCAAAAGATAACAATGAAATCGTGTGCTAACGGTTGAAAAAAGGGTAAAAGTTGTAAATTTATTCAGGGTTGCAAATGGTCTTCAATACAGTGGAGCGGCTTGGAAATGGTGTGGGCATAGACAACTGTGTATAAATGTAGCAGTATACTTTATGTACGTGTGTATATCATTTGATTTTCATCCACTTTACAGGCAATTCAAAGGCGAATACGCAAATTAGTGCAGCGAAATATTTTAATAACTCCGCCGCATAACCCTTTTCGGTGGCTCTCAAAATATGCACAACTGGACAGAATGTTTTTTGGTTTTTTTTTTTTCAATGCATTTGAAAACTTTTACAGGATACAGTAGCTACAGTATGTGGCCAAATTATTAGGGACAGTGCTCGTCATTTGTCTATTTTCTGTAACATTTCTTATCGTTCAGTGTTTATTCGTTAAAAGGCGCGATTTGAAACATTCGGGTTGCATTGCCTGAGTATAATTTTTTCATTACTTTTAATCGAGTTTTATTTTTTAAATAATCAAAAGATAATTTATGCTCCATATAAAAATTCTTTTGTTATGGTTTGTCTATGAATTTACATTTTTTTAATGGCTCGACACGATAACCGCAAATTTTCCACTTCTTAGGATGGGTAGAGCACAGGAGGAACACAACACCTCGTACTACCATGATAAACAATGAGAGCGTAAAGGTGACGAAAAGGTAAATGCGGAGGCGGTTTGGTCGAAGTGAAACTGATGGGTCGTCGGCATTCCAAAAACCTAACGACCAGTATGCAGAAGAAACGACTAGATTGGGCTAGACGGCAACGAAATATGACTGTTGCTGACTGGAATAGAGTCAGTAGAATATATTCGAATAACGCAATTGGTCAGTGATGATTTTCTTATATATTGTACTTATTCTATTATTTTACAGATGAGCCTTTCCAACGAAGCAACATTTGAAATTTTGGCCGTTAAAAGTTATTTTGTAAGACGACGCGCTGGTGAACAATTCCACGCCGAATGCTTTGTAGAGGGGGTTAAACGTCCGGTTAGTGGCATGGTGTGTTCAGTCATCTCAGCCAAAGGGACGGGGCGCCTATACATCGTAGAAGATGCAATGAGACAAGACCAATACAAATGAGTACTAGAAACACGCTTACTGCGGCAGATAAAGGGATGGTTCCCTAATGATGAAGAATATACTTTTACGCATGCCACAAAGCCAGAAGTGTTACCGTATACGAGTATTTGGCCTAAAAAAATGTCACTGTTTGCCTTGGTCAGGGAATTCGCCAGACATGAATCCTATGGAAAACATGTGGGAGCTCACCAAACGGGCGATTGCAAAAGAAGTTATTAGCATTAACCAGCAGTGGATTGAAACACTTACTAGGGCATGACATCACTATTCCAAAAGATGCAAAAATCTGTATTGGAAGCATGCCCCGACGCATGGCAGCTCTTATTGCAGTGAAAGGAGGCATTAATTCATATTAAAATTAAATTTATTATTATTTTATATTTTATTATTTTTACTAATATTAATATTTGTCATCCTCACTGTTCCTAATAAATTGGCCTCCCACTGTATGCAAAGGGTATTCTTTCTAGACGTGAGACTTTCGAAATTAATAGTTAATAATTAAATAATTTCTAGAGCTGTGATTTGCTTTATACTCCGTTTGGCTGGCCATTTCATAACGAAAATCGTTTAAATCTATTACCAAAACGATCGTGCTTTATATCCAATATTCGATTGCCCAGTAACGTCGGTACTTCGAGCAACCACAGATCGGTTTCGCAGCACATTTACTCTAGTGCTTAATACGCATCTTCTTCCGAGATCCCTTACAGTACACCCGAAGAACCTATTGCTGCTGTGAAACAGAGAATAAAAGAAGACCCGAATGAGTCTTTCAAATATCGTGTGTGTGCTGTGTGTGGTAGTTTTGGTTTGTGGGCTTAAAAAAACCGATTCGTACAAGATTTGAAGCCGAGCAACCATCAGCCGCCTCGCTCGTTCGGTGAATGTGCTCAAAACTGATCCCGAAATTAGCAAGAAAATATTTTTTAGCGATGAAGCTCACTCGACTGAATGGCAACCACCTTAATAAAAGTCCATTCCACTGAAGGTTTCCACCTCTGGATTTCCCAATTTAAAGACTGCGGTGCAGAGTTTCGAAGAAGATGTTAATGATTCTTTCCAATATCGCGGGACAATTGCAGCTGTGCGCAAGGAACTTAGTTTGCGGGCTTATAAAATCCGACTCGAACAAAATTTGAAGCCAACCCTTGCCGGCTGCGGTAGCCGAGTGGTTGTTCAAATCCTGGTACCACCAACATCCAAAAAGTTATAGAAAACTAATTTAAATAAAAAATAAATTAAATTTTCTAATTGCGGCCGCCTCTCGGCGGAAAATGTCAACTCCTCCGAGAGTCTTTCAGACATGAAAATAAAAAAAACTCCACTTAAAAAAACCATCAGCCGTTAAAAGGCTATTGGTGGAAAAACAACAAGACGCAAAACAACAAATTGGAAGACGAGCTCGCAGGGAATCATTGGTTCATATTTCTTCAAAAAATTAAGGCGGTCATGGTCTTACAGTCTTGGCGAACGTTGTAGAAACATTGCCAACGACATGTTCACGCCTGAATTCAAGGATGTTGGTTTGGGTGTCCTTTGATTCCAATGAACTTTTGGTTGGCGCATTATCTCGTGTTGCGTAACATTCAAAATCCTGCGATTTAACAACCCTGACTACTTTTTCTGAGGTAATGTGAGATCGCCCAACTACGCAGGCAAGCGCGACACCTCGACTGACGCCTCGACTGGCGCCTCGGAAGATAACATTAAGCGCATTATTGCTGACATTCGGCTCTAATTGCTGCAAAAAGTGGTCGAAACTTTGGAATTCATTCGAACCACTCGGGGCGGTCATTTGTCCGAAATCATTATAAATCATAAAAGTAAGTCCTTCTCTTTATAATAAAGCTAAATACTTGGGCATAACCTTAAATTATACCTAAAATATATTAAATTAATGTAACTTGAAAACCACTTGTCTAAAAAAACACCTTTTACATCTGCATGTTTGTATGTAAATATGAATTTTGCTTTTCCTCGTCGTTATATTCACTTCTAATTACGAATCTTCAGTGCCTTTTGATGACATTGAATTACTTAAATACAAATTTTTTTAATGCTTCAATTTTTTTATTTTATGGTTCTTTTGAAGGGTTCTCCATTCCTTTTGATTCAGGCGAATTCGCACTTGAAGTCGATTAGGAAATTATGGCGTCTTTATTAAAGCATTATAGTGAGATTTATTTCCCACTGCCATTTTATTTGCAGCATTTCATTTTAAAGAGTTCAACACTTTTTTTTTATTAGACAAAAATTTGAAAAATTATCAACGAAAGAGTATTATTTAAAGATATGCTATGACAGTTTGTGGAAGAATTGCTACGTCTTCTTTCATTTATAAGCTTTAATGAACGAATTCCACGATACGGAACGAGTTGGGCTCGTATCCAGGTAAGACCATACCTGATCGCACTTTGCGCCAAGTATAATGTGAGAAGACTTTTCATATTACGTAAAAATCGGATCTAAAGACTTAAAGATTATTAAGAGAATATAAATATATGGCCAACTGCTGCACTCTTTATTGTATTTCCAATGCGAAGTACATCTATCAGAGACTCATTATACTCGAGAAAGTCTCCATGAGAATAGCAATGGCATACTCTAACTCGGCGATTTTCCAACTCTTTCCGGGACCACGAAATGAATTTGGCTCTGCACCGCTTTGTTTGAAGCTGGGAAGAATCTCCCTGAATAGTTCATTATCAAGCGAGGCTTCAGAAAAGGGCGTGAGGCTCCTCTCTCAAGTTGCAGAACTAGAGATAAAAACTACATTCTACGAAACTACTGACCCGAATTCGTTGAAATTTTCAGTATTGCTTCATTGAAACCGGGAGAGTTTTCTTAGCGAAGTTTCCATATTTTTAAAAAAAATTTCACCTGTCAAAAAACTAAAATTCGAAAAAAACTTATTTATTGATCCATTTTCTTAAAACCTGGTACAAAGGTAGCTTTTTACTAAAATTAAGGTGAGGACGAATGAGTCTTTCAAAAACATCAAGCTGATGGACATTCAACGAAGTGGAGCCGATGCCGATCTTATTGAGACGAATATTTTTAAGATTCCTTGCTTTTTTACGATCCGCCGCCAAAGCCAAACCATTAGCATTGCGTGATGACGTTCTGAGGGCTAGAATTAAATGTAGCTGCCTCTATTTGTTGAAGAAACATCAAAACGCGCACCACAAAGAGAAAGGAGAAGAAGCTCGACCGAAAATAGTTTTAGCGTTAGAAGGCGTCGGATGAGAGACACCCCTTTTGACGATGACCCCCGCTAACTAAAGTTTAAGGGCATTCACCTGGAATGGCCGATTCCTTAATGGGGAAGGTGCCACTGCCCAGCTGTCATATAAAAGAGTGCAAATTTGTTGCCAGATTTGTTATGGGAAAGAGACTCTATCGCCGAGTACTGATATTCACTCCGGCGGATGAACGCCTAATCAGAAGAACCATGTAACCACTGATACCTTTTACGAGCGCCTCGAGCATACTTAAGAGTGCTGCCACCGTCACGATTTTAAGATTGTTCCTGGAGACTTCAACGCCAGGGTGAGCAAAGAGGCTATCTCCCGCAAAACTGTCGGAAAATAAAGACTCCACGACGAAGCATCCTTAAATAGGTTGAGGCTGATTGACTTTACCGGTGCTCGAAACATTGTTTTCTGCAGTACTAGATTCCAGCACTGGAAAATTCATCAAGCTACTTGGCTATCTCCAGACCGAAAAACTCAACTAGATCGATCAGTTGTGATAAACGGAAGACATGTATCACCAGTGTCTAATGTTCCGAGGTCTTAACATCGACCCGGATCACTATCTTGTTGCAGCGAAGATACTAATGCGCCACTGTTTATCAAAGAATGCCAGTCAACAAACACAAGGTGGGTTCGTCGTCGAAAACCTGCAATCACAACAAACAACCGAACGGTTTTTCACTCGCCTTGCACCCCTTTCCGAGAACACTTGACATAAGGGAACTGGGAAACTCAAACACCCCTCGCACCGTTGCTACGGAAACAATTGGTTTTCGACAGAATCAGAAAAAGAACTGCTACGATGAGAAATGTCGAGCTGCAGTGGAATAAAAACAGACTGCAGAGCGGAGCAAAAATCTAGTAAGAGATGGCCAGAACATACTGAATTTATGGTGGGAATACTTCTCCCACTCTCACTTGAATGGTAGTGAAATGAAGCACCCGGAGATGGTGAACCCGAAATCCCAATCGATGATGATGGAACAGACGTTCCACGTCTTCTTCTAACTAAGTCGAAGTTCGAATTGAGATTGCCCACCTAAAGAACTGCTGTTAAGAGAAAAAGAATCAGGCTCCGAGAGTGAACGGCCTATTCATCAGTATTACATTACGAATTATAACATTGAACAAAATACGGGAAAACACAATAATGTGTTTCCGGGACCTGTCTAAAAGCTTACCAATTTCGATATCCGACGATACTGAAATATCTGCACCACGTTCTGTTGGTTCCGGACCGGACAAAAAAGCAAAGAAAGTTGGGATGTAAACGAGGACAAAGCAAAATACCTCACTACATCAAGTCTCGGCTCTTTCCAACTGGTTCTCCTATGTGTTGAGTCATTATTACCGTCATGCTATGTTGTGCAGAAGCATGGTTGCAGAAGGTAACGACACCGGTACAAAAATATCATCTTAAGGGAGTTGTCCTCGTAAGTGGGCCCCTTGGCACAGGTACTTCGGCGGACTTAAGGTGGATGAACTTTGCTAGGCAAGGAATGTCCAAGCAGATTGGTATGCCTTTTGCCACTTGCAAAATGTTTCTAAAGGATTTTACATATTGATAAAGTTGCATCAAGGTTTAATGATGCTACAACCTGCAGCGAATCCGGGCAAACCTGGGATAAGAAGAGATCACAAGATATGTACTCTTTAAAGAGAGGTGAGATTTCCAAAGTAATAAAAGTGCTGACAGACCACTCTCTGATAGTAAAATAAGCGAAACGACTCAGGACTCCCTACAGGAGATGCCGCATGGATAATGAGGAGGTGGTAACGATCAGCCATGACTTTCCTGCTTTGCGCAGTGCTAGGTTTCGGATTTTTGAAACTCTACTGCTGGATAGTCTAACGAAGATAGCTGACGTAAGTAAAGGATCTATTAGAGAATGAATAAGAAATGTCTGTGTAACGGAGTCAAATTAATGTTCAAGCTTTTGTGGCATCACAATGGGTCTTAGTCAGGCCAAAGTGAAGTCGTTACGATAGATCGAAAGTCACCAAAATCTCACCTAACATAATGGAGATGCAATCTGTTGCCTCCTCTTCCGCCCATCTATCAAAATCAAAGGAGGAAC